ATGGATTGTTTGCGGTAGCAACCCATGTTGTGGCAAGACCTGATGTGTATTTTTTATTCATTACGGGATGAGGGCATCACTGGCTAGGCAGCATTTATTGCCCACCCCTAATTGCCCAGAGGGCAGCTAAGAGTCAACCACATTGCTGGAGGCCAGACCAAGTGAGGATGACAGTTTCCTTCCCTAAAAGACATTAGTAAACCAGATGTGTTTTTCCAACAATCGACAATGGATTCACGGTCATCGTTAAACTCTTTAATTCCAGATATTTATTGAATTCAAATTCCACCGTCTGCTGTGGCGGGACTCGAACCTGGGTCCCCAGATCATTATGTGGATCTCTGGATTAACAGTCCAGCAATAATACCACTAGGCGGTTGGTGTAAGGACATGGGAGAAGGTGCTGAAGTCCTAAAATTATTAACTCAATATTGAGTTCAGAGGGTTGCAGTGTTCCCAATTGGAAAATGAGGTGGTGTTCTTTCAGGTTCGTTGGACCACTACAGCAAGCCCAAGATGGATGTTGGCCAGGGAACACTGTGGTGTGTTGAAGTAGCAGGCAACTGGAAGCTTGGGGTCATTTTGTTGGTCAGAATGTAGGTATTCTGCAAAGCAGTCATCCTGCTCATGCTTCCTCTCCCCAATGTAGAGGAGACCACACTGTCAACCACAAACACAGTAAACTAGATTGAATGAATGAATGAATGAAGTGCAGATAAATCACTGCTTCACCTGGAAGGTGTGTCTGGGGCCTTGGATATTGCGGAAGGAAAAAGTAAATGGACAGGTGTTACGCCTTTGCAGTTGCAGGGGAAGGTGCTGTGGAGACGTGTTGAAAGTGATGGAGGAGTGGACCAGGATGTCGCAGAGGGAATCGTCCCTATGGAAGGCTGAGAAGGGATGGGAGGGAAATATGTCTGGTGGTGCCATCCCACTGGAGGTGATGGAAATGGTACAGGAACCCACAAACCAGAAATTCTTAAACTGATGTAAAGCCTCAGAAGAATCACAGATGTAAGTGGGAAGAGACTGGACAAGGCTGAGTAGCATCTGTAGAAGGAGAAATAGTTGATGTTTTGCGTCAGGTATGACTCTTCAAAGAATATGAAATTAAGAACTTTACAGCCTAGAAGAGGAACCCGTACAATCCGCTGTCTCTGTACAGCCAATGTAAAGATGTTCAGCTTAACTTCCTTCCTATCTCTTGGCCCGTTGCTCTGCAGGTAGCATCGCTTAAGGAACAAAGACAAACTCTGAATATAATAAAGTTTCCTGCCTCTACCATCACGTGTAATACCATACATTATGATTATTTTACTTACTGCAGTTCTTTACCTCTTAGTGACCTACTATTTATTGTGTATCCTCTTGACTGACTTGACCCCAAGTGCATTTCCTCACACTTCCCCAGTTGAATTTCATTTGCAGTTTTTTTTTCTTGCTGACCTAAACAGTGCATTGATATCTCCCAGTCTACTGCTAACTTCCATCATCGCAATTTTTGTACCATTGATTCACATCCTCAGTTATGTGTAAATCAAAGGCGAATACTGCAAAAAGCAAGGAACCCAGTACTGAACTGTGTGAGACCCCACTGAAAGCTGTCTTCAGTCGTGGTCTTGTTGAATGACAGAGCAGGCGTAAAAGACCAAATGGCCAACTTGAACTTTTTTTTTGCGTTTGTATGGTGAAGATCCTTTTAACATAGCATCCTGTTTACAGCTGTAATTGATTCTTTAACCAACATTATGACCTCTCCTCCATATTTTTATTCCTCCTTACTACTTGAGAAAATCCTGACCCCTCATTCTTGCCCTTTTTAAACCATGTTTCGTCAGAGTTACGAAGTCACACTTTTAATGTCTGTCTTTGCTCTCAGCTCATTTGCCTGTTTTGTTAGATTTCATTTTGCATTGAAGTAAATACATTTAATCACTGAACATCTCCTATGTTGCTTATTTTCTATGCTTTGTTTCCTCTGCCTTCCCTACTTGCTGATTTTCTATTTTCTGTTTCCTGTTTTACTTTGCCTACTGGATTTTGTTTTGTGTGTAACTGGATTCCCAGAATTTTACTTTAAGTTGCAGAATCCCACCAGAAATTTGTCTTTGGTCAGCCAGCCATTTGAATCACTCAATTCAATTAAATTATCTACAAATGTAGATTAAACATCTATCCATATCGGATCCTTTTTTTTTGGTATTACTGTGTTCATTTTTTTTATTTACTGTAATTCTAAAAATGCTGGAGGCAGTATAGCTTTCTGAAATCAATAACAGCTATAACAAAGGTACAGAGTTTTTGTACTTTATAAAATTTGTACCAAGAAAGCCTCTTTCCAGGTGAAGTACAGGAGAAACAAGTCATTCAGTCCATTAAGACTGTACCTGGTACTTTTCACTGCAAAGCATCTAACCAACTTGACTATCCTGTTCACTTCCTTTTACTCCTCAATATTACTTTTCAAGTAACTATCCAATTTCCTTTTAAAAATAATTTATCAGAAGTACTGATCTATTTGAAAGAAAGCAAGCATTCTGGTTGTGACAGTGCTGGAATTGGGAGATAAAATTAACCAGTGTTCCTGCTTTTGATCACCAACCAGCAAGTCCTGCTTCCAGTTTGCTGTTAAGTCTACTTTTAAGGCTGCCAACAGTAATAATTTTTAAATAATTTCCACTTGGGGACTATCCTTCATGAAGTCAATCAGAATAACTTAGGCAGAAAGAGAAGTTAGTTGACCTTCGTTTTGTGCAATAGTTTGAAAATTGAAAGGAGAAATTTGAAGAAAGGAAGGCAGATGCAGTCTTACACAATTCATACTATTTATGTGAGAATTGCTACCAATATTAGTTGTATATTATCTTTGAAATTCATTTATATTTTGTTTTGCATGAAGATGCGTAATGTTTTATTTAAAGGGCATCAACAGAGGTTTTTGTGGACCTTTTGAGAACCTATTTGAATTTGATGATATTGCATCGCTTTGATCTCTTAAAACTACTTTGATATTGCAGAGATGGTGAACATAGCTGATTTTTTTCAAATTGTACAGGTGATTAGCTCATACAACACATTAAGAGCTAATTTATATGGATTTGAAAGAGGACTTTCAAACTGGGGAACCTTCAGGATGATTCTTGGGTCTGCTAGAAAGCTGAAGCTGCAGGATGTCAGGCCTGAATAAGAGAGTTGGGTGTATATGGAATATGTGATCATGTTTTGTCTATTGGTTACTCTAGTACAGTAGAGCAGCAGTTAATTTCTAAAAGTATACTGTGGAGCTTTTAGTTGGGTGCTATGGTGTATCAGAAGATGAAGAATTTATAAATGCTGTATCCTTTTAAAGGACTTAGGTTGAGCTTAACATCTTAATACAGTCAGCTTCTGTGATATTAATTGCCGTGATTGTTTGAAGATTCTCAAACCAGACTGAAAATACTGGCTATTAAGTGAAATAAAAAATGTTTTCTATGGGCCCTTTTAAATGATGATATTGATCTGAGGTTAATAGGTGCAGAAATATCACCAAATGATGTTATGGCCTTTTATGATGTATGTGTATTTTTGGTCCTGCTCCAGAGAAGCAGGATTGAATTCAAGAGTTGTATATCCTCAGAGGAAACCTAATCATTGTGCAGGTTAGACAGTGCCTGAGTGAGAGTACTGACCACCAACTTTCCCGTCTAGTTTTGACGGTGGCGAAGTGAGAGCTCACATCGTCCAGTTTCTCAGTGCCCAGTTTCTAAATCTTTCTGGTCAGAAATTTCACTGAATGTATCTGATACAAGAGTGTATATTCTCTAATTGCTAGATGTGGAGAGCATTTATTTCCTGCAGTTGCAAAATAAAGTTCAATTATTTGTGGACAGCCCATGCCATCTAGAAGCACAGACTTTAAAAAGAAGATACAAAATGAAAAACAAAATTTGCAAACTTCAAAACTCTTGTCATTACTATCTGTTCCGAGAGCACTAGTTTCTATGTTAGGTTTCAAACTGAAGTCTGTTTAACACTGGAGGATCTGTGATGTTGTTCAATTTCTGCCAGCTTGTTATCTAATTTTGTAACTTTCAAATATTTGCTGAAATGCTTTTTATATTGTTTACTCAAAAGTATTTCTTTTTCTCCTTTGGATAGGTGACACTATATTTGGGAGGTTTAAATTTCCCAATTTCTGAGTCATTGGCAATCTAATTCAGAAAAGATTGACAAAACCTCTTGTACTGTATATGTTGAATTCTGTAACTCGGACAGCGATTCACATGTGGCCTGCTCAAATGCTTCCTAGCAATCTGTATCAGAGCAAAAAGTACAGTGTAGAAATCTGGCACATGTTACGTGTTCTTTCTCTTCATTTGAGCCTGCCTATAGTCTGTAGTAGCAGATCTAAGAATTAAGCAGAATGGAGAATCCTTATTTTTCTTGCCTTTGTCAAAAATAACAAAAGAGCCTGGCTACTTTGGTGTTGCCCAGGGCCAACAGAATTAAAATCCCCATATTATGAAATGAAATCAAAGCACTGGAGAAACTAAGCAGGTATTGCAGCGTCTGTGGAGAGAGGAAGCAGAGTTCATGTTTCACATTTAGAATCTGACCTGAAGTATAGCCATTTGGACTGAAAACATGAACTCTGCTTCTCTCGCCACAGATGTTGCCAGACCTGCTGAGTTTCTCCAGCACACTTTGTTTATCTTTCAGATTTCCAGTGTCCACAACATTGCTTTTAATACATCCTTGCTGTTTGAACAAATAACATGAAGGCTTCATCAACTGAGATAAATATATTTATCAACAACTAGATGTTGGCAGTAGTTTAAACAATTGTTTAAACTGTTTTCCAAATTATAATGTTTTCTTGACTTGTGCATTTTTGAAGTTAATGAATATTTGTTAATACTTGCAAGTCATGATCTCTAACTTGAGAACACTTCTGATACAGGTTAGTTCCTTTTTAGAAATAATTTGTATTTCAGAAATTTGTTATGAAAAAATCTTTGTTTTTGCATAGCTATTCGATGTGGTCTTCAGTTCCTTGGAAACCTTATAACTGGCAATGAAGAGTCTAAGCATATTCTGTGGAAAAGTGCCTTTCCGGATCTTTTCATGTGAGTATTGCTTCAAATTTGGTTATGCAAACTGATGTTTGATTGATCCGAGTTTTGTTTCATTATGGGATATTAAATAGTCCATTTCACTCAATTTGTTTTGCTCATCAGTGAAAGGACTTGGGACTGAAATAATTCAAAGTCAGTGCATTGCACAAGCTCACTGGAACACTTACGTTTTCTTTTTCACATTTCGTAAGATATTTCCATCTTGTCTCAGGGTCACGTTATCCTGCTGAGAAGGTGGATATTTCACCTGCCTAGAGGCATTGCCTAATGCTATTTCTGTGACTGTGGACAGGTGTTAAACGGTTTGTGCAGACGCTTATCAACCTTTGATTTATTATTCCCCTTTCCAATCTTGCCTTCTGATAGATCTAACTGATGTTAAGTATAGAGGCTTAGTGATCAGATGCAGCCTTCTGCCATGCCAGTACCCCAAAATGTAGCATCCCTACATAACTTTTTTTAATGTTTAGAAAATGCTTTGATATTTTATCAAGAGGCAGCTGTTTGCGGAGTTATGGATTTGAGACCAAAAGCATTTAATTGTTCTCACCTGTGTGTTTATGTTACAATGACTTGCAATAAACCATTTGCTAACGGGGGCAAATCACTTCCCGGAACAATTTGTAAGAAAAATATGAACTGATACTGAACTAAAATTGGGGGCCCTTTTTTAGCTTTACGAACTTCAAATTAATGTCTGGTTCACACCCCAACTTATTTTGTGAAGCACCGTAGCACTTGTTAGATGTTAAAAATAGTGATTTGTTTTAATTGTTGAATGCAAGTCAAATGACTTTCAGAACTGTAAACCTTTTCTGAAACTTGGACTTATTTTCTTTCATGATAATATACCCGATGTGTAAAGCGTACAAGTAAGAATGATTTCCTAAACCAGTGTATGAAATTTCCTGTTTTTAATCTCTCCAAAGGCAATACCTGAGTCAATCCGATAAGAAAACTGTTACCTATTGCTGCATGGTTCTGTTCACCTGCCTTAATGCTGAGAGAACAGCTGACTTATTAAGTCACACGAAAGGGGTTGAACTGGCTGAAGCTGTTGTCAAGATATGCAAGAAAGAACCTGAACTAGACTGGGCGTATGTACTTTTTGAGCAACATTTAAAATATTGTCTTAATTATTTGAACTGGAAGGCTTAAGACTTTAATTTGCCTACAGTTGCTGTTCTACCTAAAGCATTAACATCAGCATTACTTTGAAAAACAGAATAAACAATGCAAAGAATACATGAATGGTCAGTAACTTATAAACTTGTAGATTTCATTACTAGTCTTTTGGTCATCCTGAAGAATTTATTGCCATTCATTGAGCTGCAGTTCCTGAATTGAAATTCTTTCCCTGCTTTTAGAATTTGTTTTTTTTCCCTCCTTTAAAGGCACTGACTCCATGCTCGGGCAAGTTTTTTTTCTAACATTTGTCATTACTTATACCACTGCAAAGGCTGCTCTCCATGTTTGACTCCAGACAGTGGATACCATGAGATTTCCAACTGTCGCATCACAACTGAATCAAATCAATACTTCAATGCATACATGAGCTTACAAAAATATTCTATCTGCAAGCAGGTGGCATTGGATTGTGACAGGTCACTGATTGTTTTTCTGATACGCAACTCACTATTGTCTTGGCTAACTTAATAAAGTTAGAAATTGAACCTGAAATGTTGTGTATGGCTAAGCTGTTTGCTGAATGAGCACTGAGCCATCAGAAAAATACCAGATTTGATTTTTTTTTTTTTTTTTTTTTTCAGTTTTATAAAATTAGTTGTGATTTTTGTGCATTGACATTGTGAGAATGGAACTATAAATTTTCAGCTGAAAATGCCTTTCTGTCATGCTTCACCTATACAAAGCAAAAAGGTTTTAATTTTAGATTGTATACAAAGGACATTTGAAACATAGAAAATAGGAGCAGGAAAATGTCATTTGGCTTATTGAGGCTGCTTTGCCATGCACTATGATCATAGCTAATTCTCTACTTCAATGCCATACTTGGTTTCTATAAATCTACTTATTTCTTTAAATATATTCAGTGATCTGTCATTCACTATTATCCGGTAGAGAATACCACAGGGTCACCATCCTCTGAATGAAGACATTCTTCCTCATCTCAGTGCTAAATGGACTACCCTAAATTCTGAGACTGTAACTCCATGTTCTAGACCCTCAGCTGAGGGAACATTGTCTCTGTATCCAGTCTGTTCAGCTCTGTCAGAATTTTTTATGTTCCAATAAGAACTGCTCTCACTCTTCTACACTTCAATGTATACAGATTTTCTTGTCAACCTAATCTCTCCTCCTATGCCAAATCTGCCATTTCAGGAATCGGTGTGGTGGACCTTCTTAAACTCCCTGTATGGCAAGTATCTCTTAATATGGAAGTTGTGGTCTTTCCAAGGCCCTGTACAGCAGTAAGACTTTCTTGTTCTTGCGTTCAAATTCCCTTGTAATAAAGGGCAACATTTGTGTTCATAACTGCTGGCAGCACCTGCATGCTTGCATTCAGTGATTGGCGTACAAGGACACTTGGGTTCCTTTTTACATCAACGTTTCTCAGTCTATCACCATTTAAATAATATCATGCCATTTTTTGTTTTTTGTTTCTTCTTATATAAACGCTTATACTGAATCTGCCATGTATTTTTCTGTTTATTCAAATTGTCTAAATTACCTTGAAGCTTCTTTACTTCCTCCTTACCACTTTCAATTCTTCTTATAAAAGCAAATTATCGTGGATGCTGGAAATCCAAAATGAAAACAGATAATGTTGGAGAAACTGAGCAGGTCTGGCAGCATCGTAGAGGGAGAAAAAAGGCTTAATAGGGTCCTACATAACAAACATGTAAACTTAATGTGCGTGGGATTGGGAAGGTGTACTGGCGTGGATAGAGAATTGGTTGGCAGACAGGAAACTAAGAGTAGCAATAAACAGGTTATTTTCTGAGTAGCAGTCAGTAACCATTGGGGTACCACAGGGATCAGTGCTTGGACCCCAGCAATTCACAATTTAGATGAGGGTACTGATTGTATTATCTCTAAGTTTGCAGACAACACGAAGCTGGATGGGAGGATGAACTGTGAGGCAGATGCAGAGATGCTTCAGTGTAATTTGAATAAGTTGAGTGAATAAAGATTGCAAGGCAGGTGAAATACCAAGTGTATAAATGTGAGGTTATCCACTTTGGTAGCAGATGAGGAAGGTGAATTATTATCTGAATGAAAGATTAGGAAAGGGGGATCTGCAACAGGATCTGAATGGTCTTGTACACTGACTGCTGAAAGTAAGAATGTAGGTGCAGCAGGTGGTGAAGAAGTCAAATGGTATTTTTGCCATCCCAGTGAAAGGTCTGGCGTACAGGAGTAGGAAGGTCTTGCTGCAATTATGCAAGGCCTTGGTGAGACCACACCTGGAGTATTGTGTACAGTTTGGTCTCCTTATCTGAAGAAAAATATGCTAGCTATGGAGGGAATGCAACAAAGGTTTACCAGACTGATTCCTGGAATTGCAGGACTGATATGAAGAGCGACTAGATCAGTTAGGACTATATTCATTGGAGTTTAGAGGAATCAGGGAGTATTTCATAGAAACCTGCACAATTCTAACAGGACTAGGCCCACTAAGTGCAGGAAGGGTGTTCTCAATGATAGGGGAGTCCAGACCCAGCATCAGAACCTAAGGATTCAGGTTAGGCTTTTAAGGACTGAGATAAGGAGAAATTTCTTCACGCGGAGAGTGGTGAGCCGATAGAATTTTCTGTCACAGAAAGCCATTGAATGTTTTCAAGAGGGGTTAAAAATAGTTCCTAGGGTTAAAGGGATCAAAGGCTATGGGACGAAAGCAGAAACAGGGTCATGATCATATTTAATGGCAGAGCTGGCTTGAAGGGCTGAATGACCTATAGCTGTTCTTGTTTTTCTGTGTTTCTACTTTACGTGCTTTAAGTCCACAGATGATATTCTTCACATTTATATGTAATGAATAACTGGGGCGCAAGCACCGATCCCTGTGGCACCTAACTTGTCACTGCAGTCTACTGTGACAATAACCCATTTATTTCTACTTTGTTTCCTGATTACTAACCAATTCTGAATCCACGTCAGTATATTACTGCCCAAGTACTTTGATTTGGCACACTAACCTCAAGCGGGACTTTATCAAAAGCTTTCTGAAGTACAATACACCACATCCATTGGTTCTTCCTCATCTATTCTACCAATTACATCCTCAAACTTCTAGTTGATTTGTCAAGCGTGACTTCCCTATCATAATTCCATGTTGACTTTGTCTAATTCTGTTGATATTTTCTAATTAACGTATTATCACATTCTTTATAGTAGATTCTTGTCTTTTATGTACTACTGATGTTAGATTACCTGGTCTATAATTCCTGTTTTCTCCTTTCTTAAATATTGTGTTAACACTTTCCACCCTCCAATCTGTTCCAAAATTCTTTCAAAATTTTGGAAGATGGCAACTAACGTATCCACTATGTCTTTGGCCATGTCCTTCTAATTTCCTGTGAAGTAGATTAGCAAGAACTGGGGATTAATCATCAATTTCTCCATTACTTTGTTTTTAAGACCATAAGATATAGGAGCAGAAGTTAGGCCATTCGGCCCATCGAGTCTCTTCTGCCATCAATCATGGCTGATAAGTTCCTCAACCCCATTCTCCCACTTTCTTGCCGTAACCCTTGGACCCCTTGATAATCAAGAACCTATCTATTTCTATCTTAAATGTACTCACTGACCTGGCCTCCACAGCCTTCTGTGGCAGTGAATTCCATAGATTCACCACTCTCTGGCTGAAGAAGTTTCTCCTTATCTCCGTTCTAATAGGTCTTCCCTTTACTCTAAGGCAGTGCCCTCAGGTCCTAGACTTTCCTACCAATGGAAGCACCTTTCCAACATTCACTCTGTCCAGGCCATTCAGTATTCTGTAAGTTTCAATTAGATACCCCCTCATCCTTCTAAACTCCAATGAGCATAGTCCCAGAGCCCTCAAACGTTCCTCACATGTTAAGCTTTTCATTCCTGGGACCATTCTCGTGAACCTGCTCCAGGGCCAGTATGTCCTCCCTGAGATATGGGGCCCAAAACTGCACACAATACTCCAAATGTGGCCTGACGAGAGCCTTATAAAGCCTCAGTAGTACATCCCTGCTTTTATATTCAAGTCCTCAAAATAAATGCCAACATTGCATTTGCCTTCTGACTACTGACTCAACCTGCAAGTTTACCTTGAGAGAATCCTGGACTAGAACTCCCAAGTCTCTTTGCACTTCAGACTTCTGAATTTTCTCCCCATTTAGAAAATAGTCCGTGCTTTTATTCTTCTTACCAAAGTGCACGACCTCACACTTTCCCACGTTGTCCTCCATCTACTACTTCTTTGCCCACTCTCCTAACCTGTCCAAATCCTTCTGCAGCCTTCCCCCCCCCCCCCCCCGTACTACCTGTCCCTCCACCTATCTTTGTATTGTCTGCAAACGTAGCCAGAATGCCCACATTTCCTTCATCTAGATGATTAATGTATAAAGTGAAAAGTTGTGGTCCTAACGCTGACTCTTGCGGAACACCGCTTGTCACCGGCTGCCATCCTAAGAAAGACCCTTTTATCCCCACTTTCTGCTGGACAGCCAATCTTCTATCCATGCTAGCACCTTGCCTCTAACACCATGGGCCCTTCTCTTACTCGGCAGCCTCCCTGTGCGGCACCTTGTCAAAGGCCTTCTTGAAGTCCAGTTAGGTAACATCCATTGGTTCTCCTTAGTCTATCCTGCTTGTTACTTCCTCAAAGAATTCTAGCAGATTTGTCAGGCATGACCTCTCCTTGATGAAACCATGCTGTATTGCCCTATTTTACCATACTGTTACTAATTTCCTTCAATTCCTTATTCACAATAGACCCTTGCTTCCTTAGCATTTCTGGGAAGTTACTTGTGGTTTCTTCTGTGAAGACAGAACTAAAGTAGTTTAACTTTTCTGCCATTTCCTTGTTCCCCATTATTAGTTCTTCTGTTTCAGACTGTAAGAGACCTGTATTTCTCTTTACTATGAGCTTTTTTTTCTTTTTAAATACTTCTGGAAATTCTCACAGTCCACCTTTATATTCCTTGCAAGTTTACTCCTAA